ATCAACATTACTGGGCAGAGAAATGTGATTAAATGATGGAAAACACTATGAAGGTCTGAAATGTCCTTAAAATTTATATGAGAAATTAAAGCATTTCAAGTAGATAAACAGCAGTTTCTGAGCCTATCATATTTCTACTTTTCTCTCACAAGTACTACCATATTAATGTAACCTTTAGCATTAACATTTTGATTGTTTTATAATATTTTCCTTTAAAATTCACATGTTAAAAAGTGTATTTCATTATACTTTGCTAGGGTCTAGTGGATAATTTCCCCATATGACCACATAAAGGGAATGAGTGGAAACATAGAAAACAAAAGAAATTGCAAACTTTCAATTAACATAAAAAAGACACCCATACCTATACAACAAAAATTAATGTCCTACATCACAAAATTAATCAAAACCAAAATTATTTCAAATGATTACGTCAATGATGAAAGGTCAGTATTGGGTGACCTGATTTTTACCAAATAAAATCAAAACATTAAAAAATCATACAAAATATAACATAATATACCATAATTGAGTATTTTCAAAGAAAAATTAGAATATGGGAATTTTCATGATATACACATTTATTATAAGTCCTAAATGAAGAATACTGAAAAAGATTATTTTTGCTTTAATCCCAATATGTTAAGAAAGTTTCATTGGCACAAATATCCAGAGGTATTTTACAATTTCATTTAGCTTTGGTGGTAAAGTATGTTTACCAGATGAATACAGTTAGAGTTTTCAATACAGAGCTTTGATGCTAATAATAATTCAAATGTATTTTCTTCCTAAAAAAGGATGTAAAAGTCCAATATGAAACAGAATAAGTGCAACATGAAATACAAAATATGCCTATCATTTAGGCTTTTGGACAGTTAATAGCTATGCTTTGTCTATAAACTTTTTTACTCATAACATTACTACTATATAAATACTAAAAGTCAAAATAACATTAAAAATAGCATATGAACTTTACAAAATGGCTACTTTTAGATTTCCTAAACTAGGACTAGAATTTGAATATGAGAACAAACTTATCCTAATTAAAATACATCAACAGATACAGTTTTTCATAAATGTTGAAAGTTATAATGTACAGAATGTTTACAGATTGATCTGAATCTTATGCAAAATCCTCAGAAATTAACTGGTTTCCTGGTATCTAAAATCTTAAATTTTGAGCAGCATAACATGCCAAACATTTTTAGAAGGTACTGTACTTGATTTAAAAAGCATTAACCTAAGACAATTTAATCAAGATGTATCTTAGAATATCACTTAACTTTTGAACAACCCTGTTATCAATTTAGGTGTACTGTCACACTTACATTATTAATGTAATAACAGTTTGTCTATTCTATTTCCAAAGTTTTTTCTGTTCTTTGAACTAAGTTACTAAGATATAAAATTCAGTTTTCCCTATTCATAATATAATTTATTTAAAACAATATGAATTCTTGAGCAATTACAGTATACACATTTGCACTTGGATCACTGACTCAAATTTTCTTTCCTATTGTCCTTATGAAAAGTAAACACTTATTTTCTCAATTTACTAAAACTTATTGTGAAAGAATCCATGAGTAATGTGTATAAATAAACTTCAGAATTTGAAATGTTCTTAGTTCAAAAAGACTGGGATAAAAGTTCAGTTTCCACATAATTTTGTGAAAGTATCTTCTGCATTTACATTTATTTGCTAAGAAAGTTTTCCTGGCAGGGTTTAATTTCCTGAAAGAAAGATAACTTTTATTGCTCCCTTTTATTCTGGTGAGCAAGTGGCATACTTTCCCAATTGATTTTCCCCTTTAATAAACTTCACAAGGTATTTTGTTTCCTATGGTATACAAATTCAAAAAAATCCTATAACACTGAGAAAACACAAAGTGATGATGAAAAATAATCAACAAATACCTCGTCATAGAAAGTCTCAACACCTTTTTGGGTTTTCCTCAAATGGTTTCAGTAACCAGTTCCTAAAACTTCAAATGCAGCACTCTAAGGTTTTGCACTAAACTAAATAATAAGACATTACACTAATTTAGAACCAATGTAAGATGGAAATTAGGCCAAGTGATTTATCTAGAGATTCAGGAATCAGATTTTTATTTATGTTTCCTATTTTTCCCAGAGCTTTAAAAAGCTACATTGAAAGGTGTGTTTTATTTCCTTTTACTTCCTTTTATTTCCCTTGACCACTTTCTTTAAGAAATGCTAACAGGTAGTCAGGTTAAATGAACACATTATGCTATAAATGAGAAGGCTGGAGAGTCAAGGAAGCTATAGGAACTAGAAAATGAAAAAAAACAACTTACTTTATAACAAGTAGTGTCTAAACGAGTGATGAAATAAGCAGTAACAAACATTTAGTAGGCCTACCTACTATAGTTCCTTATTTTTCTTTGCTAAATTATTATGTGGATATTAGTATAGTTAGTTCATCCAAGAAAAGGAATTCCATCATACACATCTGAGTTTATCTGACCAAAATATTAAAAGATTAATCAATGTATTATTAATGTACATGAAAGGGATTCAAAATCAATGTTAAAAAAGGCATAGTGGCAAATATGATATATCAAGAACTATGTAATATTTTGAACAACCAACAATAAAAATTAAAAAAAAAAATAAAAATAAAAACTAACAGCTTCTGTTAAAAAGGAAACTATTAAAAAAAAGGCATAGTGGCTTTTTAAAAACCACTGCTTTAAATATTTTCATTCTGGCAAAAATGAAGAAAATAAGAACCTAATTTAACTCTGGCATGAAAATGATCCAGAAATAAAAAAGTTTAACAGGTGCTGATGGTATACCTCAGTGGTAGAGTGTGTTCTTAGCACGTGAGAGGGCCTGGGCTGGATCCCAGGGACCTACCCCCACTACCAAACACCATGTTAATGATTTCTATCATATTATCAGTTCTAGATTATAACAGCAGCAACTCCAGGGAAGGCTTTAGAAACACTGAAAGTATCCAATGTTTTTCCCTGTCCAATCTATATTCAATCCAGTATCAACAACAATGTCTAGGAATTATTTTATATGCAAAAATGTTTGCTCAAAACTTGATAATTTACTAAATAAAAATGCCTTAGGAGCAGAACACAGAAATTTGCAGAACTAGAACCAATGTAAGATGGAAATTAGGCCAAGTGATTTATCTAGAGATTTATCTAGAGATCTAGCTGCCAATAAATAATTTCCTTTTCAGTAACTCTGCTAATAGATCTGTGCTGCTTTGTAGGATAATAAAGATTGTAAGCATGTTTCCCACAGTGTGTAATTTAAAGGCCAGGGAGTTTTCCTAATGATAGAAATAATCCATTTTGCTAATCCTCAGATGGAACCTACCTCTCACCTCTGGTAGCTACCTGAATTTAAAGTGCTTGATGAAGACCCTGTCAAAAATGTGTATATGTATGTATATTTGTATACATACAAATATAATGGCTAATGACCTAAAGTACTACTGTTTATAAAATGTTTAATTAATTTTGTAGTCCTTAAAATGAAATATTTTGTTGGCTTAAGTAAGACTTTAGAACTTGTTGGTAAGTACACTCCCACATATATATGTGGTTTGTCACAAAGACAAGTGTATAATCTAATAAAAATCTCTTTCCTCTCAGGTATTGAACATTCAAGCATTTTGTGGTTTATTATTTTTGCTATTTCTCTCAAACAAATAAAAGTCTGGTATGTCTCTAAGTTTACTATGCCTCCACTTTAGTGGTGTTGGTAAGTGATAATATGAATATTGAACAATAAGCATAAAACTGAAAATGACAACAACGGAATCATGCAAACTTACAACCCTCAGGTGAGAGTAAGACCTTCTCTGACTAATGCTAAAATCAAGGACCTGAGGAGGAATTAAGAAGGGAAATGAGTTAATGCCCCACAGTTATTAAAGTGGAAGGGACCCTCTATAGAATTAACAGCTTAGAGGTTGCAATGGAATCCAGATAAATGGCAGATGAAATAAAACTGATTCTCTAGGACGTCCCAGGGTACTAACAAGGACACAATTTTACATGTGTGACCATGGAATCACCAAACTTAAGGACATTACTTAAGAAGTTTGGAGTATTTATAGCACACACATCTAAAAGAAGGGCTCTATGAGCCAGGTATACTTCAGCCTGAGTTTATTCTATGTGAAGGCAAAGAGTACTATTTTCTTGTACTATGCTCCATCACCTTCTTCAAACTCTTGTTATTAAGAGTGAATCAAAATTTGAAATGAAATAGAAATGTTACTCTTATTTGTCAAACAGTAATTCTAGAAGTCACATAGGCAAATCAAGATTCTACTGTTAAATGTATTGGCTAACATCCCAATTTATTGAGGTGTATTGTTTATATTTATGCTATTAAGATGATAATACCTGTTTACTGTTATCCCATTACAGTATAGTTTCACACATCAAATGTGATACTACACTTGTGATCATGTTGATTTTTTTTTCACAGTAGACAAAAAATGGTGCAAACCTATAGTTGTTTCTGACCACTGGAGTTGTTATTTCAATAATCTATCATAGCCTGAAAACCTTTTTGCAACCATGGGTGCAATGAATTAATCAAATGGTATAAACCAAACTACTCTAATCCCAATATCTGTGAGAATGTTCTTTAAATTTAACAACAGATTTCTTAAATGATGCCCTGATATTCACCAAGAATATATGATAACAGAATTTCATTGTTTTGAGTCTGAATCATGTTTCCATCATCAGTCTTGCTCTGGTTACCAAAAAGCAGGTCTCCTTATAATTCAAAGCTTTATTTCCATAGATGTAAGAAGACAAAAGGTCTATTCTGTTCACCCTGGCTGCCGAAAACCAACCAAAGACTCTTTGTGGTAATTTAACTTCTGAGAAACCAAACAGAGTGGATTTTGTCAGTCTTTTCTTTCTTTCATTTTTTTTGGTCAAATTTTTAGGACTTCTTTTTTAATATGTAAGATTACATATTGAAAATAGAAAACAGCAAATATAAAACAACCTACAGAAGAAAGCTTGATGAAACAAGCAGAATGTTTGATGTGAGACTACAAACAATGTTGCATCTACTGAGTCTCTAGAAAAAGATCCTTGGTATGGCTGATGAAGTAGACTAGGTGATATGCACAGAGGTCCTCAAAGCCAGGGGCCATCATATTTCTCCACTAATTTTGCAAAATGACTAATACCTAGAGGCCATACCACAAAACAAAACCATGCTTCATCTGTTTTCCTCAAGCATTACAAAACTAATTTCCTATTTTCAATACTGTAAAAATAGACTTGCGTTCTCCAAAGGATCTTGCTGCCCATATTGGTGGATCTGTATGTTCACTCTTATTACTGGCCCTAAAGGCATAAATCATCTTTATCATCATGTAAGTCCAGTCTTACATAAAGTTGCATAATGCATGGAGTAAGAGAGGTATGAAGACAAAGCATGGAACCCTGTATAAGTGTGCTGACCCAAAAGCAATCACACCAACAGCCAGAGGAAGTGGAAATTGTGAGGCAGTCTTCAACAATTTACTGTAAAGAGAGAAATATACATTGTTATGTAAACTGCAATGTGAGCCAAAACAGAATATGTCAATCTTTTATAGTTTTGGGAAAGGTAAGTATTCTAAGTGATTATAAATGAAATAATTTTTAATATAATAAATTTACCTGTCCATGATTTTTTTAATATTTATTTTTTAGTTATAGTTGGGCACAGTACCTTTATTTATTTATTTATTTTAATGTGGTGCTGAGGATTGAACGCAGGGCCTCGCACATAGTAGGCGAGTGCTCTACTGCTGAGCCACAATCCCAGCCCTGTCCATGATTTTTTAAAAAGAGAAATATGAGCTATATTTTGACCAGAAAAGGGGAAAACATTTCTATTCAGAAAACAGCCAGTTTGGTTTGGTGTTTCAAATTTTAACAACAGAAAAATATTAGATGGACTGTTACTCAGCAATACTACTTCTAAAAATTTATCCTAGCAAAAATAATGCTATTCACTAAGATATAGCTACAGAAATGTTTATTTTAATTTTAGTTATGGTAACAACAAAACAAGCAAACTCAGAAGGAATTTTTCTTTACTTATTGATTTGTACTGGGGCTTAAACCCCCCAGGGGCACTTTACCAGTGAGCTATATCTTTTGTCCTATTCATTTTTTATTTTGAGACAGGGTCTCGCAAAGTTGCCGAGGCTAGCCTTGAACTTGCAGTTCTCCTGCCTCAGCTTCCTGAGTCACTGGTGTGTGCCACTGCACCCAGCAGGAACCTTCTTTAATTCCCAAAATGAAAGAACCATGTAAGTTAAGACATAAATGTTTTAAAAACAATACTACTCCCAGGAAAGACTATCACTGTTTTACTCCAAAAAGAGAAAGTGCAGATAAGAAGGGTTAAAAAGCTTGCTAAGGACATAAAGATATTGAATGGCAGAGCTAATATATAAGCCCCAGGTTGGCTTGATTCCAGAATATTTGCATATATCTTCCAGAATCAACTGAAAAGGCTCCCAGAGCAAACAACCAGTGAATGAAAAGCCAAATACTATTATGGAGAATTTAATCATATACAAAAGAAGTCTAATGGCATAATGAACCTTCATGTACCTGTTAGCCAACTTCAAAAATCATGGCCAATCTGAACTTCCATTCTTCCTGTACTTTTTAGAAGTAAGTCTTAGATATCTTTTAAGGGTTAACTTTTTAAAGAAAATAACCCATATTATTACATCCTAACAAGTAAAACTTATAATTAAAATAAGTATAGCATAATTACATAAAAACCCATAATACTGTTACTTTTAGGAATAATTAAATTAACTACAAATAAATAATATGCTTCAGAAATAAAAATAAAGTGTTAAAATAAAGTGTTATATCAGGAAAAGATGTAAGAAAAAGAAAGATTAATGTATCATACCTTGATTTTATTGAAACTGTGTAAGTATTTCCAAGAACTGCCATAGTTGGAATAAGGATAAATGCCAAAGGTTTACATGGATCAGGATTAAGTTTAAAATAATACCTATAATAAAAGAAAAGAAAAACCCCATAAGTCAACAAAACAGAACTGTTTGCTTTAAAAATTAATCAATCAATTAATTATGTACTAGAGATTGAACCTAGGGGTTCTTTATCACTGAGTTACAACCCAGCCCTTTTTATTTATTTATTCTTTGAGACTAAATTGCTGAGGCTGGCTTCGAGCTTGCAATCCTCCTGCTTCAGGATACCAAGCTGCTGGGACTACAGTTGTTTGCCACCACACCTGGCTTGATCTTTTTTTTTTTTTTTTTTTTGGTACCGGGATTGAACTCAGGGGCATTCAACCATGAGCCACATCCCCAGCCCTATTTTGTATTTTTATTTAGAGAAAGGGTCTCACTGAGTTGCTTATCACCTTGCTTTGTTGAGGCTGGATTTGAACTTGTAATCCTCCTGTCTCAGCCTCCCATGCTGCTAGGATTATAGGCGTACACCACTGTGTCTGGCTTAGCTTGATCATTTTAAATTACCAGAATCAATCAAATTCAATAATTTTCAAAACATTCCCATAGCAACATGGATAAAAGAGAGCTCTAAACAGCTCCTGAAATCTTTAATATGTACTTTTTGCTCTAGATCATCCTTATAACCCAAGGTTTTATATGGAGAATTGTGGTCAGATACTACTAAAGAAATAAAAACACCCAAAATGAAAGACTTCCCTTTTATAATCAGTTTATATCTTAAAGGTAGTATAAAATTTTTAAAAGGCAAATTATTTAAAATACATTAAAGCTGCTCTATGACAGATAAAATAAATGTTTATATAAATTAGCTGTCCCTTATCTTTTTAAAATTCAAGGATCTCATCTTTTGTATATATTTGACAGTAAGAGGTCTGTGGCCTTTCAGAATGATAAGTATGTACTCTTCAAATAATTGCAACTGCAAATCTGTGAACACAAATCTGGATATTGAGTAAAATGAGGGATAAAAAGATATTAACATTTGGTAATCTTTTATTTCATTTATTGAACTTTTTTAGTTCTACCAACTTAAAAAAATATTTTCAATACTTACATACTCTGAAAGCTTTATATTATTTTTGTGTGTGTGTGTAGGGGGCTTGACTAGTTTTTGGAGGAGATGGCCTTTTATTTAGAAATGTACCAATAAGTAAAAATACAAATTGCTCTCTTTTTACAGATTTTTGAAGGAGGTAATATTCCAAAAGTTTATATTTTTATAGAACAGAAGAAAATATGAATGTACTGAAAATAAATTTCAGGTTCATAGCTTCTTATTCTTAAGGAATTTTCATGGCCCATCAGGAATATAAGCAAGTCTCTACTTGAACATATTCTTTGTCTAAACCAAAAAATAATAATTACATAAATGAAACACACCTAAGATTTTTTAACCAATAAATTAAAGATGGCATGCTGAGTAATACGATCCATGTTAATAAGTTAATCACAGTACTGTGCATGCGAAGACTGTCTTCAGCATCACTGGCAGATAAACGAAGATGGTGTACTGCAGAATCTTTATGGTGATTGGATTTTTTTTCACTTCTTCTAGAGTGTTTGGGATTCTATAAAGCAATAAAGTAAAAACATCAAGACATTAAGTACACAAAAATAAATCAGAGATATTTATTTTATTTAGAATCATAACTACTAACCAGTTAAATATGTATACCATTCCATTACCAAACTGAAATTACCTATTTAAATGGTACCTAATTAAATGATTACACTTATAAAAGTTTTATTCTTTGACTTGCTATTTTCACTTCTGAGAATATAGCCTCTAGGTAATTGCTCAAAATAAAACTTAAAAGATAATATTTTATAACAATAACAAAAATGGCATAGGTACTAACAAAGGTCAAATTAAATTTAGAATAATTTCAATGTATTTTAATAATCTTTTAAGTTCAGTTTTATTAAAGTTACTTAAAAATTAATAATACTTTCACACACTATCAAATTCTAACCTTTCTGAAAAATAAACTTATATTTTCTCATGTTCTTTCATATTAAAGCTATGTAGAGTTTTTAAAATACAACGTACCACGGGCTGGCTATTTTTAAAAGTTGTGAGGCTGGCTTGCAGATGAACAATCTAGGGGAAAAAATAACTTTAATTTACTTGTTTTGCAAAAAAGGTATAGGAGTTTCTATTAAAACTGAGAAGCACTGTAATCTGAAATTTAAAAAATCTAAACAACTAAAAATTCATTTATACATTTAAAAACATTCTTTTAGGAAAGATAAAACAACACATACTTGCTACCATGGATTAAAAAAAAGGAAATACTTGGAAAAAAAAAAAACAATACAAACTTCAGAGTATGTAGGGACCAGGATATGTTGCTACACCTTTTGCCTCCTGTGAACCTATGTTTGAATGATACCTTGCTATAGACATTTTATGTGTCTTATGGATAAAAAAATTTGATTATATTCAATATAAGAAGTACAAATAAAGAAGAAATACAAATCAATAATATACAGTGATGAAATATTTACAAGGACTTGAAAAATCTGTACATTTAATATATTTTAGTTCTTTAAGTATCTTAGAATGTTTTGCTTTTGTGTCAGTTGTTGGAAATACCTAACTTAAAAAACTAAATATGTTGTATTTATGAATTGAAGTAGGTTTAAATATTTTTTTCAGATGCACATAAATTCCTTTGTAAAACTGAAAATAGTCTATAATGAGCATATATTAGTGTTAAAAGCAGAGGAAAAAGTATTTGTTCAAAAAAAAAGTAATTGTTATCCATGTCAAGTGTCTACACATGAATGTTTAGGGTATGCAGTTGTATAACCTCCTGAATTTTCCTGCAAAGTTGTCAGCCTTCTTGGAAGTGTTTTTTGCTTCTTCAGTAAAACTATCAATCCATTATTTTTATCATTATATTCTCATTTTTCTGTAACATTTCTTAATATTTTATGTTGTCTCAGCATGATTAGTAACTTGATTTACAACTAAATTTTTGCTTTCTCTCACCCATGTTCAAAGAGAGGTACAAATAAAACCTTTCTGTTAAATTTTTTAAGTTATCATTTGCAAGAGTAAGAAGCAACAACCTAAAACAGGTTATGTGTGTTTTCCTTTGTCTTTTTTTTCCTTAGCAAAAACCTCAACTCAGATGAGTAATCTCAGTTATACAGTAACTGTATACCATTTACATAACCAAGATGTTTAGAAAACCTTTATTTAAATCTATTATATAACAGAGGAGTGTTATAATGGTAATTAAAATTTTCATTAACAAAGCCTACAAGGCATTCTACACCTGCCTAACATAAAGCCCAGTCGTTCTGGCTTTACTACTGATTTGACCTACCTTAAATACGTAGTAAAGATAAGAAAGAAGTATGGCAAGTGCTCCACAAGTTGTCCAACTAATTATGATCAAAACAACTGTCAAAAAAGGTAAGTCTGGTGATATCATCTTGATATCTTTAGGAAGTTCAGAGGGTCTGGAATAAGAAGAAAGTTTAAAATAATAGAGTAACAGATATTTATACAGTCACATATAAGAAGAAAACAATATACAGGTTGAGCATCCCTAACCCCAAATTGGAAATGCTCCAAAATTCAAAAGTTTTAGCATTAACATGTTACAACTGGCAATTCCACACCTGATCTCATGTGATGGGTTACTGTTGAAATGCAGGTACACATTAAAAATATTGTATAAAATTATCTACAGGCTATGTGTATAAGGTATATAGGAAACATAAGTGAATTTTGTATTTGGACTTTGTTCCCATCCCTAAGATATCTCATTATGTACATGCAAATATTCCAAAAAAAAAAAAGTGAAATCTGAAACACCTGTGGTCCCAAGCATTTCAGAGGACTAATGAACCTGAAGTACTCTGCCAGCCTCTTCTACTTATTAGTATATAAGTGTCATGTGGTAAACATGTGGTAAACAGTATCAATAAAGGCATTAATTTAAGTTCCATAATATAGTGTGACAGCTCCTTTCCCATTTAGATACACGTAGCTAATACTTATACTAATGAAGACAAAAATGTTGCCAAAAAGTTAATTATAAACCCTGTGCCATACATCTCCACTCTTGATAGGAAGAACAATTTTCCATTTTTTTAAAGCCTTGAGACTACTCTGATGCTTGTTGGTGTTATTGTCAGACACCCCTGCCAAAAGCACCTCAGAAGGCAAAGTAAGAAGTACCACACCATAACCCCCATCCTCCATGAGAGTAAATCAGATAACATGTATGATAGGGAGGAGTGGCGATGGAAATCAGATTGGTGTTTTACTTCAGATTCTAACTGTGTGTTTGGGCTCTTAATACAACTCTAGATTGTTTTAGCCTCCTTGGAGGTTTTATACATTTCATCTAATAGGATGCTAAATATATTGATTGGCGTCTCTTGCCCTCAGGTTTCATTATCAAATTGAGCATACAAAAGCACTGCAGAGAAACAATCCCTTGTGAGGGATTTACAACCATGAAATTTGTCAAGCGTTCTTGACTAACTCTTGGGCACTAAAGTCAATATCCAAGGTGGCATTTAATTTTCAATAACTAATAAGCTTTGATAAAGGCATAATTTGGAACTAACTCATGCTTTTGCTAGTTATACATCTTTCCTTACAAAATAGTTTAGTGGATCTTGTTGGGAGCCCCTCTGGAAATACATGCCCTTAAGTCCTGAGCAAGAGATACTGAATAATTATTGAACCCCTCAATAACTTGGGCTTTACCTCCACTCAGATAATGAGGCCTGACTCCAGGAGTAGGCGTCACCCGGTGGGTTTGAGTTACCCTCACCTGTTCCTTTGTAATCCTACCCCTTGCCTCATTTGAATGGCTTCTCCCCAATAAAACTGGGTTCGAGGTGTGCTCTTTCTCTTTCTTGCCTGCCTTGCCTCCATTGTGGGAGCTGGGTCAGAACCCAAAGAAAAAGGTATTTCTCTGTCTCTGTGTGATTATTTCGTGCCAGCCCAGTTCACCTGGAGTGACCCCGACTGGTTTAGTTGTGTGTCACGGCAGAATCTGATTAAAAGAAGTAGGAAAGCTTTGAGTCATTCATTTTACCTTTTCAAAGTTAGCCATAATGAGGAAAGGAGTCTCACAGATGCAGAAGACAGTAGGCCACTCCAGTAGGCAGTACATGTTCCAAATAGAAAGAGAATCAAGGATACAAGGGGGAAACACATACTCTGACTAGTTAAAACAATGGCATCTAATTCTGGTAACAATAATAAGTCCCATAATTCCTTAAACCATTTATACCTGTGGACAAAAGAAAACAAAATGAAAGCAAAACAATGAATAAACACTCCCAATAACTAATATTCCAGGATTTCATATTTGAGGTGTTTGACCATTCACTAGAGTCTTTAATGTTCCATGATTCTCAATTTATAAATTTATCCTGAAAAATAAATTGGAAGTCTCTGAATGAAAAAAGTCATTTATCTCCCAAGAAAATCTACCTATCAGAAACTATCTGAGTACTGACTCTCAACACAGCTTTACTGCACTCTTGATTTCTCTATGAAGCAATGCATTCTTATTCATGTTTTCTTTCTCTTTTTTTAAGAAGCCAACAACTAGTTGGCTAAGCACCTTTTTTTTTTCAATTTTTTTTTTTTTTTTTTTTTTAGTTTTCGGTGGATACAACATCTTTCTTTGTATGTGGTGCTGAGGATCGAACCCGGGCCGCACGCATTCCAGGCAAGCGTGCTACCGCTTGAGCCACATCCCCAGCCCTAAGTACTGGTTCTTAAACAAAAAATATAAAATATAAATAAATTAAGAATGGACTGTCAACTACAATTAAGAGTTATAAAATATAGTTTCTTATAGTTTCCATAAGAACAGAAAACGATCAGAGGCACTATTTTATTAATATTCTGTAATAGTTTGTCCGTCTGGGATACTCAAATATCATAGACCATATGTATTCATTTGCAAACCTTAAAGTAATGTTTTATTTACTGTCTAAGTTAAAACTGATGAAGTTCAATAATTATTTTTGGAATGACTATATTACTGAAATAAATGTAAATATGTTGATTAAGCCTTTTTCCTAAAAGAAAAATCCCATCCAATGAAACAAGTCAACTGCCAAATTTACACTTCATTATATACATTTACACTGCATTATATATCAAACATTTTTTAAACATATATTTTTTATAACTTTATTTATTTATTTATTTTAATATTTATTTTTTAGTTTTAGGTGGACACAATATCTTTATTTTATTTCTATATGGTGCTGAGAATTTAACCCAGTGTTTCATGCATGCTAGGTGAGCTCTCTACCACTGAGCCACAACCCCAGCACCTCAAACATATTTTTATATAAAATAAAATTAAAATCATTATCACAGATAATAAAATAAAACTTACCCCAAAAGAAACTTAATCATAATTACGAAAGGATCAACTTTATATGGTTTGGCTTCTTTATCCAATATGGTAGCATATTCTAAGCAATAACCTGGTGATTTAAAAAAAATTACTTGCAACACAGAATTTATAGTAATTAATTATGAAATATATTTTGCATTGTCAAGAGCAAGATGTTTTATGTCAGAAAAGCAAGAGACTTCGCTACCACCAGAGAAGAAACACTAAAAATTACTGTTAATTCAATGGTTCTTAGAAAATAGTAATTTGTGAAATAAATTTAGGAAGTCAAAGACACAGTTTCATCTCTTCACAATTCAATGATTCTTTTAGTATATTCAATATTGTGCAAGTACTTCACTTCTTTTTATTAATGAATAATACTCCACTGTATGGACATGATATTTTTATTAATATTCATTTAAATTATTTCTATGTTTTAGCTAATAGGAATAAATACTCTATAAACATTTGTGTACAAGTGTTTATATGAATGTATGCTTTCATTTCTCTCAGGTCTTTTCTAGGAATGGAGATGCTGAGTCATATAAATAACTCTGTTAACCATTTGAGGAATTGTCAGATTGTTTTCCAAAGAAGCTATTCCATTTTATATTCCTCCCAGAAGCATATGAGGGTTCCAATTTCCTCCATAACCTTGTTAACATTTGGTATTATCTTTCTTACTATAGTCGTTCTAGCTAATGATTTTCTTTTTTCCTTTTTTTTTTTTTTCTGTGTGTGTATGTTGTGGATTGAACCCAGTTTCATGCATGCTAGGCAAATGCCCTATCACTGAGCTATACTCCCAGTCCAGGAGGTAAATTTGGATATGCACTCTTGGTATAGAACTACCTCTTTAATTGGTTTAAAACATATTCCCATACTTAAATATTCTAAAGTAAAAAAATATATATATCTCTAGAGTTTCTGGGCTATCTATTTGTGAATTTCGTATGTTTAGGAATCAAGTATCTAGTCTGCTGAAATTAAGAAGTATGAGGCTTCCCCTTCAGACATTCAAAACCTTATGGACAGGCTGGATATGTAACTCAATGCTAGCTAGCCTAATAAGTGTGAGGCCCTGGGTTTGATCCCCTACATTAGGGGTAGGGGGACCAAAACCAAACAGGTTTTTTTGTTTTTTTTTTTTTGTAGTTGTAGATGGACACAGTGCCTTTATTTTACTTGTTTATTTATATGTGGTACTGAGGATCGAACCCAGTGCCTCACACATGCTAAGCAAGCACTCTGCCATTGAGCTACAGCCCCAGCCCCCAAACAGGACAGATTTTACATTCAAGTCTGGTTGATGTCATATCACCAGAATAATATCCCCCACACTCTCCTTTTCCCTTCTGATACTGAGGATCAAACCCAGAAGTGATCTACCACTAACCTGCAGCCCTAGCCCTTTTTGAGATAAGGCCTTGCTATTTCTGAAGCTGGTCTCAAACTTGTGATCCTTCTGCCTCACTCTCCACCCTTATTACTGGGATTACAGGTATTCCTGGAATATAGTTTAACTCAGGTATAAATGAGCATGGAATGCAAACCCAAAGTTATATGAAAATAACAAAAGGCATTAAGTAGCTGTAGGATTTGGGGAGATGGATATGGTGGAGGTGATTTATGGACTACTTTTACATATTTTTACATATTTTGCTTCCATTATTTTTTCCTGCTTCTATTACTGTCCAAGTCCAAGAAAACAAAGATTAGGCTCTCAGGAAACTGTTCTAATTATTATATTCTAAGGATGGTTTTATCCATTTATCCTACATCTACCTCTCCAGATCCATTCACTTTGCTGTTGACTCTGGGAGGCTTACTTTCATGCACAGGCTTCTAGATAGTTAGATTTAGTAAATGAAAGGGTCTAGTAGATAAGGGGGGGGGGGGAAATGGTGTTAGAGAATGTATTTCCCTACCTTTCCCCCTGCTGAGACACAGGCTGGCAGTATTGCTTGTTTCTATACCCAAGGTTGCAGCTCTAATAACACTGCTCACTCCTACAGGTCTCTTAGGTTTCCTCTGTCTCTAGCTTGTACTTTATCATCTCTTGTTGGTTTCCCTTAACTCTGCACAAATCTTTGAAATAGTTCCTTCATTAAAATTTCAATAATTCCATTCAGTGAGCCAGGACCTAAATGACATTGCTGATACGGCTAGCTTACTAAATGTGTACTGTATGTTTGATACAATGTTAGGCTCCAGAAATAAAATGGAGAACAATGTGCCTTTGATGAGGTTCTACATCTTAAGAGGTCCTCGAGAAGGAAGAAGCTTCAGGCATAAAGGTATAAAGGGTATAAATAAATAAGGAATTTTCTTGGGGATGTCTTAAAACTTAGAGGATTCCTAAACTTAAGAACTTGGGAGATATAGGTCATGAATTTTCTGTCTTCTTTAGCCACATGTAGGATGAAAAGTAGCTCTGATGCACTGGCCCACAGAAATAAAGACGGAAGGAAGCAAAAAAGGAAGCGAGGAAAAATAAGAAAGGAGGAAGGGAAAATGAGGAAGAATGAAAGAAGAGAGGAGAGGAAGGGGAAGGGAACAGACTAGGGTGACTCAGGAGGAGATTGGGGGACAGATGCCTACTAACAAAAGTATACAACACTGAACAAAGGTGCCAAAAGCATATATTGGAGAAAAGACAGAACGGTACAGGCAAAACTGGATATCCATATGTAGAAGAATGAAGCTAGATTCCTATTTTTCAACTTGCACAAAAGTCAACTGAAAATGGAAAAAAATCTAGGAATTAGATTTAAAAAATGCTGCAACTTCTAGAAAAAAATATAGCATCAATGCTCTAACATAGGGACAGGCAACAACAGGACTTCCAAAGCACAGGAAATAATTACAAGAATAAATGGGATTTCATCAAATTAAAAAGCTTGTGCATAGTAAAGGAAACAAGAGCATAATGAGAGTCTCCAAAATGGGGGAAATTCTTTGCCAGCCACTCTTCAACTGAGATTAATATTGGGGATATATAAAGAACTCAAAAAACTTACCACCCAAAAAACAACCCAATGAATGGCACATGAACAGACACTTGTCAAAAGGACTACAAAGGGCCACTAAATATATAAAAAAGTGTTCAACATCTTTAGCAATCAGGAAATGCAAATCAAACTATACTGAGCCAGGCACAGTGGTGCACATCTGAAATCACAGCAGCTTGGGAGACTCAGGCAGGAGGATCACAAGTTCAAAAGCCAGCCTCAGCAACTTAGCAAGGCCCTAAGCAACTAAGTGAGATTGTGTCTCTAAATAAAATACAAAAAAAGGGTTGGAGATGTGACTCAGTGCCCGAGTTTAGTCCCTGATACCAAACAAACAAACAAGCAAGAAAAAAATTACACTGAGATTTCATCTCACTCCAAGTGGAATGGCAATAATTAATAAAACAAATAGTAATAAATGCCAGTGAGGGTGTTGGGGAAAAAGGAACACTTACATACTTTTGGTGGATTGTAAACTAGCCACTATGGAAATCAACATGGAGGTTTCTCAAAAGATTAGGAATGGAACTACCATATGACTCAGCTACATCACTCTTCAGTATTTATCCAAAAGAATTAAAATCAGAATATTATAGTGATACATACATTTTAAAGCCATGCAATTCACAATAGTTAAGTTATGGAATCAGCTTAGGTGTCGTCAACAAATGAATAGATAAAGAAATGTGGTACATATATACAGTACAGTTTTATTCAGCCATAGAGAAAAATAAGATTAATGAGATTATGTCATTTGCAGAAAAATTTATGGCACTTGAGAGCATTATGTTAAGCAAAATAAACCAGACTCAAAAAGTAGAGGGTCATTTGTTTTCTCTAACACATAGAAGATAGGAAAAAAAAAGGGAGGTGGTTCATGAAAATAAAAGGAAAATCAAAAGATTAGAGGAAGGAGACGAGGGGAGGGAGAAGAGAAGGAAGGAGGAGGCATTGGGGAATAAAGTTGACCAAATTATGTTAAGTTCACATACAAATATATCAAGATGAATCGTATTACATTTAATTATAGTGAACCAATAAAAAATTAATTATAAAAAAGTACATAAAACTGAAATATTCCTGTAGCAGGAGCAGCAACAAGTAGAGGCATGGGAATAGAATTTAAATGTTATCAAGCCTACAGTTCTAATTACCTATTTATTTATTTATTTAGTACTGCAGATTGAATTCAGGGGTGCTCTACTACTGCACTACAACCCCAGCCTTTTTATTTTGAGATAGGGTCTCACTAAATTGCTGATGCTAGTCTTGAATTTGTGATCCTCCTACCTCAGCCTCCAGAGTCACTGGGATTACATGAGGTGCCACCATGCCCAACTTAATTATCAATTTATAAAAAATAGAGCAGTTAGAAAAAATGTTCAACTATACCTAGGGGTGTAATCAGCAAAATTCAAACTGTGAGAGACATAAACGCACAAAGGTGGTTGTGTTTAATAAATTATGAGGCAAAAATAAAAAAAACATGGAGGACAGAACTTTTAGCTTAAGAAACTTAATGATCAAATTTAGTGACAAATGGTAATGTGTAAACCTTATTTGGAAACTGTTTATATTTTTTTAAACAAATAATTTCATAATATTAGAGCATTAAGAATTTTACATGTATTATGATTATTTTGTTCCTTTTTAATACATAAATACTGAAAAATATTACATTAAGATTATTCTTCAAATTCATATATTTTAAAAAACAGTTAAATGTTCAGACTCAAGTTTATTTTTTTCATTAACAAACGATACTGTTACATAGATCAAATTAAAAAAAAAAAAAAAAAGAAGACAGACCAGTAGAATAGAAGAAGAGGATCAAGGGAGAGAGGATGGAAAGGGGAGGTATTAGGGAATGAAATTGATCAAATTCTACTATTTTATTGTGTGCATGTATGAACATATTATAACAAATCCCACTGTTATGTATAATTATAATGCACCAATAAAAAGGAAAAAAATATACTAATAAAAAAGTGATAGGCTAAGAGAATATAGTAAACTGCAGGTCTCAGGACTAGAAACTGGAGGTTTGTAGACTAGTTGCCCCAAACTAGTTTGGGATTGGTGGTCAGTAGAAGAAAAGTAAAACAATAAAATAAAATCATACACTATTCTAGAGTTTCCAAGAACAGTAGTGCCTACTAGTATTTGGCTATTTCTAAGAACTTCCTTATTATGTTTCTTTTTTTTTTTTTAATATTTATTTTTTAGTTCTCGGCGGACACAACATCTTTGTTGGTATGTGGTGCTGAGGATCGAACCCAGGCCGCACGCATGCCAGGCGAGTGCGCTACCGCTGAGCCACATCCCCAGCCCCTTATTATGTTTCTTAAGTCAACATAATTGAATTAAATACACACATGGAACTAACAATTGTTCCACTAATACTTATTCATAACAAAAACAACTTTAAAAATTATAAACATTTTTACCTGTTGAGAAAAGAGAGTATAACTGTCCTCCATAAGCAAGAAGGATACTAGATATAACATAAGCAGGAAGAGCTCCACCATGAAATCTAATTACCTAGAAAACAGATAAATCAATGGGCAATTTCTAAATATTCATGTCAATGAAATAAATGTACTTTAACACAAAATAAAAAATTTTAAACACACACAAAAATTTATTGTTTATACTTCTCCTGACACAGCTACAAAGGTATTTCCAGTAACAAGTATCAAAAACTCTAAGTAAAATAAATGCTAATAACATATAGCATAGTATAAACATCTGATTTTTTTCAAAGGCATAATTGAATAGCATATGCTAAAATTTTTCCTTCAAAGCATGTTTATCGAGTATTTAATATGTTCCAGCAAGACACTAAATATCTTATATACATTATCTCATATCTTCCTCCCCAAAACCCTTTCAGGTAGTTCTTTTCCCTATTTTATAGGTGAAGAAATCTAGGAATGAGGAGCCCAAGTACTTCCCACAATTGCAAATGTCATGGGCAAGTTACTTCCCCCTTCTTCTCTATGTGCTTATCAGTAAAATAGGAAAAAATAATAGTACTTATAGGTGATTATGAAGATTAAACATGCTCATTTTGTAAAGCATTCAAAATATTAACTTACACAGTAACTATAAGATAATATTGGTTATAATTATGAACTCTTAATGCCCTTCAGTATCTTGGAAATTCAGTAAAACTGTCATTTAGACTCAGAGCCTAAGTTCATAACCATTATGTGACAGTGCCTCAAGTCAGTTGATCTAATCTGCAGAAAACATATCCATAATAAAAACAAAATATTGTTCTTTTTTAATATCAAATTTTAAAGAAAAATCAGCATGGACTTAATCCATAGAATCTTTTTAGAATATATATCAACTCCCTTGGTAATTTGATGAACTAAATCTATGAAAGTACAAGATTACCTAAAATGTTGCATAAAATTTCAGGAAGTTCAGAGTCTCCCTCCCTTAAGTTTCTCCATGGACTTCCAGGTTGAAAGAGATTAGAAAAATTTTTTAAAATTTATATCTCACACTCACGATTTATAGTTTATAAGCTTCAAGTGGCAGGAAAGAAAAGTTGAAAAAAAGGGAAAAGGCCATATTCTACCTATTACTAATGAAACTCACTGCTGCTAATGGTACACTAGGAAATACATAGCATAATTAAGTTACCAAGATTAATGTTAAACAGCCTAGCAGACTTATGAGTCAGACCTCTGGATTTAGACTCCAGCTTTGCTCTCACTATTTTTGTATTATTGGGCAAGTTACTTTGCCTTCTCTCTCCAGGGCTTCATCAGTAAAATGAGATAGAGGTGTAAGGCTTCAAAGTGTTTGCATCTGTTTAAAACACCTGGAATAGTAGTTGGCATATGGCTGAGAGACTGAAAATATTAGTTGTTATTATTAATCATTAACATCCTTAACTGTCCTTAGAATTCTGGAACAGATCTTACACAGAATATTATGTTAATATTTAAACATAAAATTTCTCTTACTGACAAAGGGACATTGTTATAAGTATTAAGTATTTATTCTCTTGGGCTTTGGATACAAGGTATGACTAAATCAACAACCGTAAATTGGCTTCCATGGGCTATAATCAAACTGTAAGACTTGCTTAATTTGGCTTAGTATTTAGCACAATATTTCTTTAAACTTTGAATAAGATAACAACACTGAAAAAAATTTAAAGATTTCACCTAAAAAAATTTCAAATTTCAGTTTCTCTTAACATCTAACTATTGAAATAATTTACTAGAATTTATGAAATTTACTCAGGAAAGTAACTTTCAATTTACTTTTTTGTCCTCTTTTTTCCTAAAACTAGATTAAAGAACATGAACACATTTTCCTCTTTTTCTAGAAAGAATCAATTTTGTGAAAAAATTATTTAAAGGCTAAATATTCTCTGAAGTGGTTTCTATTTACTCCTTTTGCTCAGTTTCCTGTGACTATATCAGCAACATTGTTTTTAAATAATACGCATTGTTTTAAAAAAATGAGTAAGACATATTAGACAACTTAAATTTGTTCTTTTACCACCCACAAACTGAAATCTTAAATAAGCAATAAAGAAGAACAGGCTATATTTTTCAATAATTTTAGGATTCAATTGCCATTCTTTGACACTTTAAAAGTACCCTCCTCTGAGTACCCTACAAGAGTAACACCAGTGCTTCCTTGCTCTTTAGAAAGATTTCCACATCTAAACAAAAATATTAGTCTGTCTTTTTTGGTATACAATTATGCCTAGTTGCAGCATACCAAGCTAACTTGACTTTTCATGTCACTAATTTGGATTATGGGCCACAGAGATGATAAGGATAAGAGAGCATGTAGTATCTTCACCATAAACCACTGTGTACAATAACATGACTTTTGGACATGCTAAAAAAATAATAGCATGAAGTCATCTCCTCTATCACAAACAAAATTTTTATTTAAAAAATTTTTTATTTTTTAGTTGTAGATGGACACAATACCTTTATTTTACTTACTTATTTTTATATGGTGCTGAGGATTGAACCCAGGGTCTCACATGTGCTAGGCGAATCCTCTATCACTGAACTACAATCTCAGCCCTGCAAAATTTTTCTTAATGCCTTTTAACTTTTTAGAATATCAACTACCCATGATGGTATTTTCCAACTTATACTAACATTTGATGTTCCCTTTATAATTTAGCACACAATTTTTTAATATAATTACTCAGAATTTTATTATGTTCACAAATTTAATAATAGTCATAATATAGCTCTAAGTGATTATAAGGAACAAATGAGATAATGCACATAAAATGTTTCTAATTTAATTTTGATTTGTGAGTTTTACAATTGCAGTATTATAACTTAAAGTAAAAAAAGGAAAAATTCTACTATGCTTGGATAGCAAAATATAACCAATCAAAAAATAAAAGCTAAATAAAATTTTACTGAATTTTGAAATTATATAATTTTCCTGTCTAATCAATATTAGTGTATTTATTTCCAGGTTACATAATTCTGAAAATTATAATGATATTGAATAATAATATCTATAGTTCTAATGCTGAATTATTTTTGTAACATGATTTGCAAATTAATTTTAACATTTTTCTTGAATAAAATTTATTTTTAGCCTTTACATTATAACAGCATTCACAATATAAAAAGTTCTTTGAAAATGTTCACTTACATGACAAACCCTATTTTATTGTGTCATGAATTATAGTGTAGTATGATAAATATGAAGGTCTTAATATGACATTCATTTAGGCAAATATATTGAGAATCAGGTAACAGCTCTTATTTTTAGGATGGATCAAATATGAAGGGATCACCTTAAAGTAAGAGTTGGCCAACCATGGCCTATAGGTCAAGAATGTTTTTTAGATTTTATTAAATTGGAAGAATGAAGAATGAAGAAAAAAGGAGAAAGAAGAAACAAGTAGCTATAGCAGTGGGAGCAGCCAGAGATTGTGATCTGTTAAATTACTGATTTTATAGAAAAAGACTATAATCCTTTCTTTATGATATCTATTCACAAGACAATAAATAATTATGCAATGAAAATTCTCTCTTACCTGTCCAAGTATTTGTGAAAAGGATGTCTTAACTGTCACCTAGTTTAAAACAATCATTTAAAAAGAGGTTATTTACCCTAGATTTTTCTAGTTCAATTTTATTAAACTACGTACTTCTACACATCTCTAGGTATAATAATTCCTATAATAATAAACCTAAAGGCATAAGAGATCTTCAAGAATCTTCTGCACCACGTTTAAATTAGACAAAATGTAGTTTCATCATTGAGTATATTTTCCAGTATTCTAATTCTTCAACAATTACAGCAATGCTATGGTATATATGGTAACTGTTTACAACTGGATTATTTAATTAACTAGAATGTTATTAATAGATCATGCTAGTTAAAAGAATTTAAGCCAAAATAATATTTGAAAAATAAATTCATCCTTAATAATCCTACCATAAGTAAAAAAAATTCATCCTTAATAATTCTACCTTTTTAAAGAAAAAAAAATAATCCTTTATAAAGAAAAATTAAGAAGTCTGTGAAAAGGAGATAAATCTTTGTTAGGGAAATTATGAATGTTTTGTCTGCATCTGACCTTTGTGGAAATACGCATTTTGGTTAAAAACATGGAGCATGCAGTATTTGGATCCAAACTGACAACACAACTCTTACTATCACTTCAGTATTAGAAACATGAACGTGCAAGTTTAAAAATATAGCAAAGACCCTTTATTGTTAGAAAAGTAAGGTATCAAAGCATTCATAAATTCTATGAAATATAAAATAATTCATAATACAGGTCCAAATAAAACTTGGTTGTAGGAACAGATTCTATTAATTTGACAATGCATATTCTAGCTCACCCTAAGAAAGTTCTAATAAAGAATTCAACAACTTAAAGCTTGAAGCTGAGCAGAATTAAGCTATGTACCAGAAACCTGTGATGTCACTACCATTAAAATGTGTATTTTAACCACTTAAATGTGAAATCCTTGGAACTTCGTATGTTCTGATATAGAGAAGGACTCTTAGTTCATGAATCCATAAATAAATAAAATATTCTTTGTTCCTTCTTTTAGGAGACAGTGACCTTTGGTAATAAAACAAACACAATAGGTACTAAACTGCACATATTAATGGACTTAACAGAGCTTAAATAAATGAAAAGAAGATCCTTAAGCTATTCTGGTAGAAATAAAAACCAATAAACATCACATAAATTACTGTACTAAAGCCATGTCAGCTTCCAATTTTAGTTGATTATTCAATTTACAAGAGTTTGGATTTTGGGGTTTCAAATTTAAAAGGTTAATCTTCAGTTTCGATTTTTGTTTTATTTCTATTACTTATTAAGATGCATACATTTTCAAATGATCCAGATAAGGAAATACTGAAGTATTACAAACAGGAAAAATATTAAAATATTTCAAATGTCTATATCTTATTTTTATTCACTTCCACCCTACCATGTATCTGCAATTTCTACCTTATTCTATAACTAAATCTTAAAGATTATAAATATATGCAACTTACCTCATACTGACAATCTGATGATGTGTACATTTTTAACAATGCCACATGGCTGTCATTTTCTGGTTGAGCAATATGAAGTTTCAGAGAAATTTCTGTGTTAGATGGAACCCTGAAGAGATAACTTAAATATCAATACTCAAGTACAACATGCTGAAAAACTGACTTAGCCATGGCTAAGTCTATCCTTCCCACAATACAATGAAATAATGTAGAGGAAGCCAGATGACAGACACACTATTACAGATGAACACTTTTTCAGTTACATTAGAATTGTTTGAACACTCCTTCTCTAGGACTCAGGAGTTGGAGGAGTGTGGAAAGATAGGTGTTAAAGTTTTAAGCAAGTGAGGTTTAAGTTCTATGTCATTTAATAAGACAATTTATTAAATTAGATATATAAATAGATACAATTGATATAACTAAATTGTGGGCATGATGCTACATAAAGGCTATAAATATTTTACATTTTCCTTTCATAATTCATATAATTAAAAAAACTAAACTACACAGAGTATCTATTTTATTCAAAAACACCAAAGTTTAAAGTAAATTCTACATACTGTGCAATGGTTAGTGAATCTTCATAAGACCAGGGAATATGAAGTTTATAGATACTAGTTATTTCTTCTGTTAAAACACAAAGGAAAGATGTATTATTCACCGTGTTACCTTAACTTTTACATAAGCTACTTAATACCAAACTAATTACACAACTGTCCATTTTAAAACAAAAAAAAATCAGTAATGGTTATACAGCATAAGAAATTATGAATTCTTAAATGCTTTCTTTAGGCTTACAAAAGGTATTAAAAGTATATAGGTAATACTAAGAAACTGGAAAATATTAAACAGCCAAATCTGAATTACTACTATAATAAGACATAAAGACATACTGAAACATGAAGATAATTTTAAGAAAGGGTCTATGCTAAACCCTTGGGAAATATAAACATCTTTTTATTACTTTTTCATGTCATATAAAAATATATGAAAAAAACAGATGTGAAAAAGTATGACAGAAGATTCAAGTGAAGACTTATTGATTCTTCAATTGACAATACTATTTTCTACATATTTTTCAGAAAATACATTTACCTCTGACTCCTGAGCACTTGCTTACCACGTTGATTTTAAAAGCTTGGTATATCTAATAGAGTTTGACCACAAAAACAAAAAGCAAAAGTTTATTTGTTTGTTTAACTAAACAGTAAAGTAAAATCAACTCCTTGTTGTTGTAGTCAGGATAATTACCTGTCCAAAATTCAGAAGCTCTATATTATAGTATAGGCCACTTGTATTTAATACCACTTTCCTTGAAGATAGTCCTGTTGAATTAAAAGTAGTGTTAGAGTACTAAAGAAATTTTGAAAATATACTGACTGCTTAAATAATAATAAAAAAATGAAAACAATTTAGATAACAGGTTCTCACTTCTGGTATGGAGGATTCAACTCCTAAAAAATCCAAACCTCCCACAATAAACACTGGACAAAACACAGTATTTATAATAACTTTTAATTATATCAATGTGCTTTTTTAGTCAAGTACTTGTTTTTAATTTCAGAAAGGTAAGATTTCTTTGCAGATGTTTTATTTTATAAGCTTGGTATCTTTAAAAACATAGGTAATTTAGAGTAGTCATTTCTGTATTTTTCTGAGAATTTTTGAATCCTCCCCCTGCAAAAAAAAAAAAAAAAAAAAAAAGAACATGTAGGGAAAGAGGAATAAAAACCTTATGGTAAGTTTCCTATCTTAAGTAACAGATTTTTTAATCTAAAAAAAGTTCCTAATATCCAAAACTGAACTTGAGTAGAACAATATACAATGATATTGGACTATAAATAGACCAATGAATAAGATTCATGAGGTTATACTGTCATAAATAAAAAACTGAACAAGTACGTGGGAGAGAAGGGACGACTCTATACCTCAAGAAGAATTTAATAAATTCTGTATTTCTTTCTTTTTTTTTTAAAGAGAGAGAGAGAGAGAGAGAGAGAGAGAGAATTTTTTTTTAATATTTATTTTTTAGTTCTCGGCGGACACAACATCTTTGTATGTGGTGCTGAGGGTCGAACCCCAGCGGCAAGCATGCCAGGCAGCGCGCTACCACTTAAGCCACATCCCCAGCCCCTAAATTCTGTATTTCTGTAGACTATCAGTAATATTTACTAAAGTCTAGATGAACCAATGGATGCTAAAATTGGTGAGTTATTTTGAAGGAAACAGGATAATTACACATTCTCTAAGCACTTCCCCCAGATATTTATTAATTACAACATATAAAGCCATAACTGCAAGTAGAGAAATGTGGCAGGTACCACCTTAACCAAGAAATCAAGGTTAATATCACTAGTAATTATATATATTAATGTCACATATCCTGATGTGATGCACTGAGAAATACACATCACATCTGTGGAATTCTTGGCAAAAATGCATAACCTCAATCTAATAATAAGAAAGCATTAGACAAATCCAAAGTGAAGTCTATTCTACAAAATAATTGACTAGTATTCTTCAAAGGTTTTTGAAGTTAAGTAAGACAAGGAAAGACAAAGAAACTGTCACATATTATTATGGGAGACTAAGGAGACATGACAGCAGAATGCAACATGGGCAAAGGGAAAGGGAAGACATCAGTAGTAAAACTGAGTAAAGAACAAATAAAGCCTGCACTTTAGTTTATATTATTGCACAAATGCTGATTTCTTAGTTTTAAAAACTGCTGTTTTTACAAAAGAAGTCAAGATTAGGGAAAGGTGGGTGAAGGATGTAAAGGACCTCTGTACTCTTTTCTAACTTTTCTATACATCTAAAATTATTTCAATACAAAGCTTAAAAGAACAAAGAATTCTTGAAACCTTCATAAGATATACAGCAATTTTTACCCTTTAATAAAAATGTTATAAAAAGGCCGAGGGGGCTGGTGTTGTGGCTCAAGCACTTGCTTAGCATGTATAAGGCACTGGGTTCGATCCTCAGCACCACATAAAAAAATGAATAAATAAAACAAAGGTATTGTGTCCATATACAACTAAATATATATGTGTGTGTGTGTGTGTGTGTGTGTGTGAGTGTGTATGTGTATATACATAGGTAAATATTTGTGTATATTTATATAGGTATGTGTATATATAGGTAAATATATGTGTGTGTACATATATATATATATATATATAGGTATGTGTATATATAAAGGTATTATGTACATATACAACTAAATATATATATATATCTAAAAGGCCAGTATTCAGTATAAATTTCACATAAGGAAACATACACACACACCCCTACAAGTATATATGATTATGAAAATTTGTCTTTTAAAATTGACTCTTATCATAAGATGACTGCGGGCCCAGTATTAAATGAGAATCAAACCACGTAACCACATCATATGGTTATCTCAAGAAATATACTAGAAATATTATATTTAATGTTAGTAGGCTCTGCTTTATTGCAATGAAATGGAAAACTAAATCAGCACTCTGTTAAAATTAAAGCAATTCTTGGGCTGGAGTTATGGCTCAGTGGCACAGTGCTTACCTGGCGCACTTGGGGCACTGGGTTCGATCCTCAGAACCACATAAAAATAAAATAAAGGTATTATGTCCACTTACAACTAAAAATATATATAGTAAAAAAAATTAAAGCCATTCTTCTAAGTTCCAAAAACAAAGTACTTACCAAAGGAAAAAAGATGAGTTACAGGAAGCTGTATGGATCTTGTTTCTTTTTTAAAGAATTCACAATCTACAACAAACTGAAATATAAATAATTGATTTATTAGTAAAGTAGAATTAAACTTATAGTGAAATGCTTTGATGTTTGAGTGGGAAATAGAAGACTATAATAATCTCAGCTTTGGAGAAAGTATCAATGATTAAATATAATAATCTCTACTTAGGTGTCAAGAATTCCTCAAGGAGAGATGCCATACTGTGAAAACTTGATAAACAAGCCTAACTTGATTAAATAAGTTAATGAAAATTATTATTGGATCACTTCTATAACAATAGATTCATAGCAAAGTTTTCTTATAATTTGTATTATAAGTATTTGCAGAATGTCATTAAAAGATGAAACAAAGATTCATAATTCAATATTAAGGATTCAAATACATGCCTGAATACATTTATAGTTAAAAGGAAAATGAAATTTTGTTACATTTTTTAAAAAAAAGTCCTTCCTTTATCATGTGTTTTTTTGTCTAATTAGACTATACAAGGCTTTTGGAGACTTACTGCCATTCATGGATTATTTAGATTATAGTAGACAGAAAAAAGCTTACTGTGGCTTACGAAAAAGAAACGTTTTTCAAAAAAGGAAACTTAAAGTTTAACATCTGCACCATTATCATTTTTGTAAGAACAACATTTCTTTTTTATAACATTTCTAACATGGAGTTAAGAAACTTTGTTCTCAGTTATCTGTAGGAGGAAATGTTTCTGGTAAAAGCTCAAGTTCAGCTAGGCATGGAGGTGCAGGCCTGTGATCCTAGAACTGGGGAGGCTGTGGTGGATCAACTGAGGTCAGGAGATTGTGACCAGCCTGGTTAATGACACTCCAGCTCAAAAAAATAAAATCAAACAATGCAAGATCATTAAAACAATCCTCACAATTCAATCAAATTATTTTGATCACAGGAACTGAAGAAAAAATTAACACCTGTGGGATCAGACAACTAAACCTTGGATGGTTGAAGCAATGTCTTTTGTTTGCCTCTTCAGTAGATTTGGTCATTCTTGAAAGTGAAAAGCAGATGAGGGAAACTGCTATTAAACTATAGAACATATGTGGGGAAAAAAGGGAAAGCTTGTTAAGGTCCTTTGTTTTTAATTTCTTATAAGGTAAAGAACAATGACATTTTCACTACAGAAAACGGTTGTTAAAAGACTACAGAAGTCATTTATTGAACAGGATTATATTCATTATGTTTTTTCAAAGTGCTTTTGGTGAGTCATTACCCAAGACAAGGAAATAGTTTTTATATGCAATTTCTTTCTGTTTTTAAATGTTTTTAGTTGTTGATAGACCTTTATTTATTTATTTATTTATTTATATGTGGTGCTGAGAATCAAACCCAGTACCTCACACATGCTAGGCAAGTGCACTACTGCTGAGCCACAGCTCCAGCCCCCTTTATATGCAATTTCAATCACTTTGACAGACCTTAAAAGAGCATGCTATAGGGATACTGCTACATCGATGTTCATAGCAGCACAATTCACAATAGCTAGACTGTGGAACCAACCTAGATGCCCTTCAATAGATGAATGGATAAAAAAAAATGTGGCATTTATACACAATGGAGTATTACTCTGCACTAAAAATGACAAAATCATGGAATTTTCAGGGAAATGGATGGCATTAGAGCAGATTATGCTAAGTGAAGCTAGTCAATCCCTAATAAACAAATGCCAAATGTCTTCTTTGATATAAGGAGAGCAACTAAGAACAGAGCAGGAAGAGCATGAGAAGAAGATTAACATTAAACAGGGATGAGAGGTGGGAGGGAAAGGGAGAGAGAAGGGAAATTGCATGGAAATGGAAGGAGACTCTCATTGTTATACAAAATTACATATAAGAGGAAATGAGGGGAATGGGAAAAAAACAAGGGAGAGAAATGAATTACAGTAGATGGGGTAGAGAGAGAAGATGGGAGGGGAGGGGAGGGGAGGGGGGATAGTAGAGGATAGGAAAGGCAACAGAACACAACAGACACTAGTATGGCAATATGTAAAAAAGTGGATGTGTAACCTATGTGTTTCTGCAATCTATATAGGGGGTAAAAATGGGAGTTCATAACCCACTTGAATCGAATGTATGAAATATGATATGTCAAGAGCTATGTAATGTTTTGAACAACTAATAATAAAAATTAAAAAAAAACCCATAAGTTTTATTATTGCTTTAAAATTTTTGCTATACCTTGATGTTGCCTAATGGAATAAATCCTTATCCAAGAAAGAGAATTAAAAGGTCTCTAAACATCTCTCTAATAGGATTAATTATTTTGTTTTCTGTCATTAAAAATGCAGATAATTGCATATTTATATTTTCAAAAAACATTAAGAAATGCATCAACTTAAAACTTTTTCACCCTGCTCATTTGAACATGTGTCATCTTCTGAAGATAATGCTTATAGATATGTAAACATTATGAAAGAGATAAGTTATCATCTTAGTGAGACAAGGTAGTGCAACAATAGATTTAGCAGTGTCACTTTCCAAAGAGCACTAAGACATATTACAAATTTATTAGGCTGCAAAGACTGTACATTTGCAGAAAGACTAATAAATTTCTTGTCATAATTGGGGAGGACCTTTCAAAGTTTGGGAAAGATGCTAGATTCATTCAAAACCAACTTACCTGATAGAAAACCCCCTAAAGAGAGCTTTTAGTATTGAAGATGTTGAATTACCTCTCATTTGAGCTAAGCAAAACAAAACAATGAATCCATTATAAGGTACTTGTGAGACTCAGTCTTTGAATTGACTCCCAACTATATCCCCCTTTTCATTTCCCTATTTCTTTTAAATTTCCTTATTATTTTATCTATAATATCATTAATTTTCTCATTCAAGAAATATTTTTTAGGGACCTCTATGAGGTAGTCATTAAAAGTTGAGAATACAAAGTAGAATAAAACTTATCTGGTTGTTACCCTCAAAGTTTACAATATGGTAATGGCAATAAGGACATGAAAATTATAATTTAATGTTATAAATTATTCAAAGAAGTTATAAACAGAGTATGAGGGAAGTAAGTAAAACATTATTGAAGGAGTCTGGAAAAGGAAGAGGGAACCCTTAGGTTGGATCTTGAAGGATAAGTCTGCTGGGTTAAATGGGCAAAGAGGAGAGCAGGGAGCTCTCTTACCTTCTTTCCTCCCCACTAATTGTCTCAAAATCAACATCCTTTTATTTACACTCACTTCCCTAGTACAGCTCATATAACTTCTTTCTTTTTTTTAATATTTTATTTTTTAGTTGTAGTTGGACATAATACCTTTATTTTATTTATTTTATTTTTATGTGGTACTGAGGATCAAATCCAGGGCCTCGCACATGCTAGGCGAGCGCTTTAACGCTGAGCCACAACTCCAGACCACATTCTTTCATTTTCAAAAAGTATTTTTTTAGTTGTAGATGGACACAATAACTTTATTTATTTGTTTGTAGGTTTGTTTTTCTGTTTGTTTAGTGGTGCTGAGGATTAAACCCAGTGCCTTACATGTGCCAGGCAAGCGCTCTACCACAGAGCCACACAACCCCAGCCTCAAATAACTTCTTAAGATGTGCCTAGTCTTCTTATTTCTGATCCATCCTCTGCCATAAATAGATTAATCTTCCAAAATGAATTATCTCTGATAACATTACTACTGTGGTAAAAAGGCTTAGAGCTTCATACTGACTTCTGAATTCCAAAGTCCTGAATTCCAAACAAAGCCTCTACAATACCACCAAGAACTACTTTTCCAGAGTTTTCTCCCATTGTTACTCTACCCCTGGTGGCCATCCTTTTAAAATTATATATTCATTCACTGTATCCCAAATACATATCATGCTTTCACATTTCTGTGCTTTTTGTTTTCACTATTCCTATGCCATTACAATTTTTCACAATGATGAGTTTCTGGAATATGGCTAGTACAACTAAGGAACTAAATTTTAAATTGTATTTAATTTTAACTAGTTTATGTTTAAATAGCCACATATGCTAGTGATTTTTTTTTTTAATTGACAACATAGGACTAGAATGTTCACTCAACCTATAAAAATTCTAACTATCCTTTTAGGACATTTTAAATATCACTCCAATAGAAAGCCATTTTTTTTTTCTTTACTGGGGATTGAAAACAGGGGCATTTTACCACTGAGCTAAAACTCCAGTCCTATTTATTCATATTATTATTTTGAGACAGAGTCTCACTAAGTTGCTTAGGGTCTTGCTAAGTTGCTGAAGCTGGCTTGGAAACTGCAATCCTCCTGCCTCAGTTGCTGGGATTAGAGGTATGTACCACCATTCTTGACTTAAAGTCACTATTGATTCCTTCAACCAGATCTCTCTTCCTTTTATGCTTTTCATGTACTTGCTATATTCTAATTTGTATTATATATACTTGTATATTTCTTTTTTCTCACTGCTCCCCTACCTAGGCGGGTGACAAATGAGTGTCATTTGTGTATTTCCTATGATTCTTGTTAGTCTTTTGTTTTGGTACCAGGGATTGAGCCCGGGGTGCTTAACCACTGAGCCACATCCCCAGCCCTTTTTCTATGTTATATTTAGAGACAGGGTCTCGATGAGTTGCTTGATACCTTGCCAAGTGGCTGAGGCTGGCTTTGAACTCACCATCCTCCTGCCTCAGCCTCCTGAGATGCAGGGATTACAGGTATGCATCATTGCACCCAGCCCTTATTAGTCTTGAATATGAGGGTATCTAATAAACTATAGATTTTGAAAGACTGATAGATAAATGGGAACTAGTTCTCACTTGGAACAAAGGGACTTGAATTTATTCTGCTTAGTTCAAGTTGGAGCAGATCATCCTAATAAATTAACAGTCTGAAGTGAAGCATCATTGTTTTAGATACCCCTATAATAAGAATTCATCAAAAAATAAATTGAAAATTCAGCATGGATAGCCCCAAACATTCTGATAACAACCTTGATCCACTTGTTACCTTACTTCCATGAATAGATGGTACATAAACAACAAGATGAGACAAAGATGGATAGTCTTGAAGTCTTAACGTCAGAGACTGAAAAAAAGATAAAAAATCTGCTTTTATTTCTTAGATAGACAAAGATTAGAATATGCTAAAAGAAAGATAAATTACAAACACTTGTTTCTCAATTAGTTATTTAAAAAAAACATTTTATAGAGTGTGTGCTTAGCATATGTGAGAGATCCCTGGATTCAATTCCCAGCCCCGGCCCCACGCACACACTTCAAATTTATGTTCCATACTTCATAATATGCCCATGTTTACATTTTCAGGTAAATAATTAAATTTACAGAAAATCAGATTCCTAATAATTATGTTAAATATGAACTTCTCAAAATATTCCTTGACATATCCCGTCACGTAAAACAAATGGCACTTAAAAAACATTACTTTATAATGCACTATATACACTGTATTTTATATCATTATTTTCAGCATTGGTATATTTTTTTGTAATCTGGCTATTTGTTACAGATGGCAATACAGCATTATTTCCATGTTTTGGTAGTACATGACGAAGAACATTGAGTAGTTGATGAATGGATGACAGGTATGATGGAAAACTTTTATAATTTTAATCTCAAATGATTCTGAGTTTAAGTAGTAAAGAGGTGCAGATAAATGGTATAGATAAACATCATGCCCTGAGATATATTTAAAAAATAATAAACACACAATATGGCTAATAATGTATCCCACTGAAGGAAATAATTATTTCTCAAAGGAAAGATTCTATCATCCATTTTTGAGGAATAAATAAGTGGGAGATTGATCTATTTAATAAAATAAAAGCCTCCCAATAAAGTTTTTTTAATTTTATTTATTCTAATTTGTTATGTATATGACAGCAGAATGCAATTCAATTCATATTATACAAATAGAGCACAATTTTTCATGTCTCTGGTTGCACACAAAGTAGAGCCACACCATTCATATTTTCATACATGTACTTAGGTATTGATGTCTGTCTCATTCCACCATCTTTCCTAGCCCCATCCTCCACTTCCTTCCCCTCCCTCCCCTTTGCCCTATCTAAAGTTCATCTATTCCTTCTACACTGCACCCACACCCCCATTATGAATCAGCATCCTTATCGCAGAGAAAACATTCTGCATTTAGTTTTTCTGGGATCAGCTTACTTCGCTTAGCATAATATTCTCCAACTCCATACATTTACCTGCAAATGCCATGATTTTATTCTCTTTTAATGCTGAATAATATTCCATTGTGTGTATGAACCACATTTTCGTTATCCATTCATCTACTGAAGGTTGGTTCCACAATTTAGCATGGTGAGAGATAATGGCTTAATTTCACTTTGTTACATATGGATTTCCAGTTTTCCTAGCACCTTTGTTGAAGAGGCAATCCCACATATATTTTTGATGCCTTTGTCTAATATAAGATCACTGTAATTATGTGTGTCTGTCTCTCTGTTCTCGGTTTTGTACCATTGGACTACAAGTCTATTTTGTTGCCAATACCATGCTGCTTTTGTTACTATTGCTCTGTAGTATAGTTTAAGGTCTGGTAATAATGATGCCACCTGCTTCACTGTTCTTGCTAAGGATTGCTTTAGCTATGCTGGGTCTCTTATTTTTCCCAGTAAAGTTTTTCTCCTGGAAATAGATGTAGGATGTATTAAGAAATTCCTATAGAGGTTAAATTTTTTCCACCCATTTTCAGAAACATTAATGTGGCCAAGTAGGACAGAGGTGCTGAAGCTAAAAAATTGTCAGTGAGTTGAATGGCCCTCTAACAACCTGACAAAAAGCCTAACTTAGCAGTCTCTGGCCATACCCATGTGTTATAATTAAAGGACCACATAAATCAGTTACATCCCACCAGACAAATGGTAGATAATTAATTAGGAAGTACCTGAATATTTTTGTGTAGCTATTTACTCTAATAGCTTCTATGTATTTATTTCAAACAATGGCAAAGTTTTGAATCTTGAAGTGCTTCATTGAAGGATTCCATCTACTTTTTCACAGTTTAGTCAGTGGAGTTGCCTAAAACTGATACAATTCTCATCTGACATTACCTTTTTAAATATAATATTAACATGAATAAAACCTATGAAGTTTTCACTCTGATCACTCCTTTAACCTTATGGCAAAATAATTTTTTGCTACTTACAAACAGTTAACTCACATTATATTAAATATTGATTTTCATTAAAAGTTTATATCTAATAATTATAACCTTTTTAATTTGAGAATGCCTACGATTGTAGAGTATTATTATTATTAATAATAATAATATTATTATTATTTTATTTTTTGGGGCTGGGGATCAAACCTAGGGCCTTGTGAATGCAAGGCAAGCACTCTACCAACTGAGTGATATCTCCAGCCCAACTGTAGAATATTATAATCTTTGTTTTCTAACTTCTCTTTTCTAGCATTCTCTACAAAAAGCAAGCTGCTGAAATAGCTTATTCGCCTGATGTTCACCCAGTTGTTTTTTAAATTCAGAACAAATGACACAGGGGCCTAGCTTTTGATGAACACATTGTTCAATCTTTGGAAATCTAAAAAAACAGTATTAGCATTTTATAATTTTAAACTACAGGAGCAAAGTACATTTTATAAAGTTTTTATTTGTTTGTTCCTAACTCTTACATTATAATATGGATAGAATATCTAAATTGGAATTCAAGGAAACATTTAATAAACCTTATGAATAATGATCATTAAATATATCCTAATACTTTTGTTTGTTCTGAGCCTTCCTGGAAGATTAGGCTTGAACCAGTGAGTGATCTTAAAAATGTACATGAGTCAAATTACTTCCTTACAATCTGTAGGGAAATTAAATAATAGAAATATAAGTAATATCCATCTCATGAATGAACATGCACAAAGTAAAGACTGAACAAGGTGACAAAAAAATTGCAACCATTCAAGTGTAAATGATTTGCAATTATGTTTTCTGCCATCATTCCTCTCTGTTAAAGTTTCTCTCTTCAGTATAAACTACATAGACAAATAAGTATAAACATTCATAAGCAAAAGTAACTTAATTGTTATTAATTAGAAGATAACTGGGACCAACCAGATTGATTTCATTTCTAAGCCTATGAGTCTAGCACTCATTAGGAAAATATGTTTTACTTTTAAAGTACAGATTTATTTGAAGACTTTACTATCTATTCTAGCATAATATTATCAGTTATAATAAATACAAGTTGGAAATAACATTCTCATCAAATTTTAGGATTATTTTGCTTTTTCATTAATACATTTTGAGAATATACAAATAAACCTTTAAAAATACACTTGCTAACCTATCAATATACTTAAGGAAATCACTAACAGTTATTAAGTAAATCTCTGCTGTGATTTATTATCCTGGAGAATTCTAGACAAAGGTAAATTATCCAAGTGGGTAATCACAATGTTAAAAGGAAGTTATCTGGTAAATTATTTCAAGTTTCTTTGGAATGCCCACTTCCCTACTACAGGTACTTCCTCCCAAAATGAAATGCTGAGTATAACACATTAATCAGTTTGTAGTTTAAGACAGACCATTTAAATAAACTCTCATATTTAATATTAAAAATCTATCTAGCTCTTTTGGCATGATGCTCTAACATACAGAGACTTGGAATACTGTTTTAACTTCTAAGTTTCTTTTCTTTTTTGAAGGGTTAGGCACTGAACCCAAGGCCTCATGTATGCTCCAATGAGCTGCACCCCAGCCTTTAATATTAATTGCATGTTGTTTCCCATCACATAGACTTCTAAAGAAAATATTTCTAAAATGTAGTTAGCAATTTCATGTTTACTTAATAACTAAATTAATAAAAGTATATTTTAAAATGTCTATAGGCTCAAGTATCTTTTCACCTGAATATTAAAACTGTAAAGCTATAATTTACCTTAATTGTTGGCAGAAGTTCAGCTTTCCATGATAAATCAACTCCTTGCCGGCTTTGAAATAAATACAAAAATATAATTAAAGAACAACTATATTAAAGTTTTATAAATTAAATTTCAGAGGAAAAGAATACCATCTACAAACCTAAGAGTTATAACTGAAGTCTAATAAGTCTATTCCACTAAACTCTGTCCACATAGTTCCCCTGGCAACAAAAACACTTTTTCCTAACAATGACTTTCAATGTGTACAAAAACTACTAGTATAGTCACAGCTCTTACTTTTCATTTAAAAATCAATACTATGATTTAATACAGAATGAAAATGAGTATAAGAATATATAAAGCTATTCCAAAAGTGTGACTTCTGAATGTTGCTTATGTTGACAAAAATGCACAATGAAGGGCATAGGTTCAAGACTTACCACATAGAAGTGCTGTTTATGCAGCCAAATATCCAACTGTTTGTATCCTGTTAATTAATAATGCAAAGCAAAACATATTAAATATTATACTAAATGATTATATAAAACAAGCATCTTCAACACTTTCCTATTATATAAGTAGGGGCAAAGGAAACAAAGTAGCTATGATTCTCACAAGTCACACAGGTCAAAGACAGGCAAAGATGTCTAATGTAAAACTGGAAAGGTAGGTTAAGTAGTTAACCTAGAGAGTGACCTAATAGGATCTCAGCATATCACCTATGCATTTTTAATTGTTGAACCAAAATTTTCAAAGAATTCACTAATGTCCATGCTTTAGATAGTTATGCAGTAAGCAACTTACATTTTTAAAAAAATAGAAATATGAATTAGATATAGACTCTTATAAAAACATAAATCCTGGGCTAGGGATATAGCTCAGTTGGTAGAGTGCTTGCCTAGCATGTACAAGTCCCTGGGTTCAATCCCCAGCAACACACACACACACACACACACACACACACACACACACACATCTACTCAAATAATTAACAATTAAAAATAACTTTTATTTAAAAATATAACAATTACTGCATTATTAGGACTTTTACTTTATTATTTTAGCTCCCATTTGATTATTAGCAGATAACTTCTACACAATTAGGAAGATGTATAGACTGAGGCACAATTCCAAGGGCTTCACCAGCATGGGACTAGAATGCTGCATACTATTATGATGTTTTAACAACATTCTGTACTCAACTTTACCCACTTAAAAGTGGTATGACCCAACATCTTCTAACTTTTAAGGAAGTCAGAGCAATGAAAATTCAACAACTAAAATCCTACCAGAATGTAGGGAGTAGCATTGTTATCTATATAATTCATTCTTAGTTATTACAGATAAAACCATGAAGAAATCCACCTGTTCATTCAGGAGCACTTTACCACTGAACTATATACCCAGTTCTTTTTATTATTTTGAGGCAAGGTCTTGCTAAATTGTTGAAGCTGCCCTCAAATTTGTGATCCTCCTCCTTAGCTTCTCAAGTAGCTGGGATTACAGGCAAGCACCACCATGCCCAGCAACAAATTATGTTAGGCCCTCAGGGAAAATAATGAGTTTGGCAGACACAGACTCTGCCCTCACAGAGCTTAAATAGAATGTTAAGCCATTTCTGAAGAATATAGAAAACAGGAAACAAAAACATTGTGATACTTCTCTGCTCTCTACTGCAGGCAAAATCTTTGTGTGACTCCTATATTAATTACCTGTGGTTCCCCCAAAGATAATATGTCATTATAAAGCAATACAACATAATAGGCATAGCTCAGATGAAGAAAATCTAACAGTGTCTAAAGATCCAACACACTTTTTTTCCCTCCAGGGGTAGGTGTACCAGGGATTGAACTCAGGGGTGCTTAACCACTGAGCCACATTCCCAGCCCTTTTTATTTTTCATTTACAAACAAGGTCTCACTAAGTTACTTATTAGGTCCTCACTAAGTTGCTGAGGATGGTTTTGAACTTGCAATCCTCCTGCCTCATCCTCCCAAGCTGCTGGCATTACAGGTGTGCACCACTGCGACTGGCCCTAACCCACTCTGTAATGGATTTTTGTAGCTCCTAACAAAGCCTATTCTCAAAGGTAAACTTCATTATAAAAAGTGATAATATTCCATACAACCTACTTCAGTGTATAGAAAAGTCTGGACCATTCATCATAAGATTGAATAGATAATATACTATTCAAGTCCCCACTAATATATACCATGTTGATATAATCTCTATGTCAAAGAACAATTTCAAATCATCTAGAAAACTTTCCTAACTCAACTAACTACAAGAACTGTAATGAAAGCCTTAGAAGTTACTCAGGAATTACTAATTCCTAAATAGGAAAGAAAATACTACTATTCAAAAATGTTATTCTCAGATTCTGTCTGCAGTAAAAATGAAATAATAATGTCTTCAATGGCTGCTAAAATCATTAGATGTGATAAAATAGGGATATAGTTCTACTTATAAAACATTCTTACCACAAAAAAATTAATTTGAATCTAATCAAGATTCTAAATCTAACTACTAGTTTACAGAAAACAATAGGACATAAAGGGAAAAGGTAAGAGGGTTATTAGAAAGGAGACTTAAGATCCAGGAACCTAAGACAATGTATACACTTCAATTTTTTATTCAAATAATTTAAAATTTAAATGAGCTAGCCAGCCACGGTGGCACATGCCTGTAATCCCAGGAGCTTGGAAGGCAAACTAGTGAGAACATAAACAATTCAGTGAGGACGTAAGCAACGTAGGAAGATCCTGTCTCAAAAATCAAAACAAAACAAAAACATGTGAGCTGAGGAAAACTGAATAATGAATATCAGATGATATTAATGAATCAGTACTAATTTGGTTAAATAAAATAATGACATTATAGTAATATGTAAAATCCTTATCTGATAGAAAAACATATTCAAGTATCTGTGGATAAAATGATAAGGTGCCTGGGACTTAAAACAAAAAAAGAAAAACACTTGAGCCCGAAAATAGGTGGGAAGGAGCCAGGCGTGGCAGTACACATCTGTAATCCCAGCAGCTCAGGAGGCTAGCGAGTTCAAAGCCAGCCTCAGCAAAATGCGAGGTGCTAAGCAACTCAGTAAGATCCTGTCTCTAAATAAAATACAAAATAGGGCTGGGGATGTGGTTCAGTGGTTGAGTGCCCCTGGGTTCAATCCCTGGTACTCCTTACAAAAAACATGGAGGGAATAAATGACATAAGAATGACAGAATGTTGGGGCTGGGGTTGTGGCTCAGTGGTAAAGTGCTTGGTTTGATTCTCAGCACTGCACATAAATAAAAAAAATAAAGGTCCATTGACAACTAAAAAATATTAAAAATAAAAAAAAAGAATAACAGAATGTTGATAACTGTTAAAGCTGTGTGCCGGTTACAAACTAAGTCATTATTATTATTTTGGCTCTACTTTTAAATATGCTTGAAAACTTCTAAAGACCTAATAAGAGCATGCTACAGGGACACTGCTACATCGATGTTCATAGCAGCACAATTCACAATAGCAAGATTGTGGAATCAGCCTAGATGCCCTTCAATAGATGAATGGAT